AGGAGAGAGAGAGAGAGAGAGCATGAGCAGGGGAGGGTCAGAGAGAGAGAGAGTCACAAACTCTGAAACAGGCTCCAGGCTCTGAGCTGGCAGTCAGCACAGAGCCCGACGCGGGGCTTGAACCCACAAACCGCAAGATCATGACCTAAGCGAAAGTCGGGCGCTTAACCTACTAAGCCACCCAGGCGCCCCAATGTTGTTTTTTTTTTCAGCTGAGCTAGACATTGAGAACATTGGCCCCTCTACATTCATTTCCAGTATCCTCAGTTAACATGACCTCTGTTCTTGATTCTGGCACTTCCATGGGTCAGGGACTTCTGATTATTCTTTTATATTTTGTAAAGATCTTATTTTTAAGTAATCTCTGCAGCCAGCATGGGGCTCTAACTCCCAACCCTGAGATCAAGAGTCACATGCTCCTCCGGCTGAGCCAGCCAGATGCCCCTGGTTATTCTTTAATGTAGCCTGAATGCTTTCGGTTTTAGGTATTGAAATAGGTCAAGTGACACTTACTGAACAGTTTTCTTTTTAGCTTTTATTGGCATTAGACTCCTGTGATCATTGCCCTCCCAACTGCATTAAGAGATTAATGGGAATTGGATTTCCTTAAGCTCTAGGTCGTCTAAAGCAATACCAAAGGGAAAGGCTTCTGGTAAGGGTCCAGAGTACAAAAGGTGCTATTATGCAATATTTGCTTCACTTGCTATCCAAGTATGAAATATGTAGGAATTCAGAAGCAGCAATTAGAATGTTAGAACACTTAGGAACAGAGTTGTTTTACAATATAAACATAAGAAATTCCAAGGGTGTTTTGTTTTGTTTGCCATTAAAATTAAATATTGGGCTCATGGGTCCAGGGACTTAACAAGATTAGGAAGAAGTCTGGTGTAAATAGGAGCCATCCCCAAACACTCCTTTCGGTCTCTAGTACTCAGCCCTGCCTGCCTTCAGTTCCTTGAACACATTGTGTTTCCTCCTTTTATTTGTGCCTGGCACAGGCTGTTCTGTCAGGCTGAAATACTAATACCCTCTGGAATTCAGCTCGGATGAAACCGCTGCTCCTCCCCTCCCCGCCCACGCCAGGGCATCAGATTCCATTTTCCTGGTGCCTGCTGCTTCTCCCTCAAGCTAGCATTTATCACAGCCATATGCTCCCTGAGGGCAGGGAACAATCCAGCTTACTCAGGGCTCTATACCAAGCACCAAGAGTGGAGTACACAGAGGCACTCAGTAGCTGTCGATGGAAGTTCAACATTTGTTGAGTATCAAATGCTTCACTTCATTAATTCCGCTCAACTAACCCTTTAGGTAGTAGATATTATCCTCCTTAACAGATGAGGAAAGTGACAGTAGAAAGGGAAACAAACAAGAGAATCTTTTTTTTTTTTAATTTTTTATTATTTTTTAATGTTTTATTTATTTCTGAGAGAGAGAGAGAGACAGCATGAGCAGGGGAGGGTCAGAGAGTGAGGGAGTCACAGACTGAAACAGGCTCCAGGCTCTGAGCTGGCAGTCAGCACAGAGCCCGACGCGGGGCTCGAACCCATGAACTGCGAGATCATGACCTAAGCAAAAGTCGGACGCTTAACCGACTAAGCCACCCAGGCACCCCGGGAAACAAACAAGAGAATCTTAAGGATAGAGAACCAACTGAGGGTTGATGGAGGGAGGTGGATGGGGGATGGGCTAGGTAGCTGATGGGTATTAAGGAGGGTACTTGTGGGGTGCCTGGGTGGCTCAGTCAGTTAAGCTTCTGACTTCGGCTCAGGTCATGATCTCAAGGTTCATGGGTTTGAGCCCTGCGTCGGGCTCTGTGCTGACAGCTCAGAGCCTGGAGCTTGCTTTGGATTCTGTGTATCCCTCTCTGTCTGCCCCTCCCCTGATCATTCTCTATCACTCTCTGTCTCTCAAAAATAAATAAATGTTTTTAAAAAATTAAAAAGGGGTACCTGGGTGGCTCAGTTGGTTAAGCATCCGACTTTGGCTCAGGTAATGATCTCACGGTTCGTGGGTTCGAGCCCCGCGTCACGCTCTGTGCTGGCAGCTAGCTCAGAGCCTGGAGGCTGTTTCGGATTCTGTGTCTCCTTCTCACTCTGACCCTCCCCTGTTCACGCTGTCTCTCTCTCAGAAATAAATAAAAATCATTTTTTTAAAAAAAGGAGGGTACTTGTGATGAACACTGAGTGTTATATGTAAGTGATGAATCACTGAATTCTACTCCTGAAACCAATATTGCACTGCATATTAACTAAAATAATAATAATAAAGGTGACACTAGAGAAATAACTTGCCCAAGGTCACACAGTCAACAAATGACACAACCAGGACTTGACCTAGGTCACTTGGATGTCAAAGCCAGTGTCATTTTGTCTTTTATTTTCCTCATTGCATGCAATTATCCTAGTGAAAAGCCAGTGTTCTCAGCATGGTACTACATAAACTACACCAGGAAAGCAGACAGTCTCCTCAAAATGCAGCGATGTGGCCACAGTGAGCATTTATGGCGTGCCTTCTCAGCCTCCATTCATCCCTGCTTTCTCCTGGCCTTGTTTTCATTTGGAGGGTATACATACAAGACTCCCTGTCTCCATTCAGAGTCCGGGTGTGCTCAGCCCCAGGGATGAAGCACTTTTACCTTTACTTGAGCCAGTCAGCATAATCCATCCGGTCCAAACATTATGATTGGTCTGGGATGGGCTTGTGACCCCAGATTGTCACTAAGAGCCAGTTGAGACTCAGTGCAGAAACTGGTTGGAGTTTCCGCAAAACAGACCTGATGTTCAGAGGCACTACTTCCACAGACTCACCACCTGATAGGGCTGCCGGGAAGGGCAAATGGGACATCTGATCACATCAGCTGAGCCCTGCTCGACTGTGTGGGAGGCCTTCTGCCCCTGTGCTTTTCACTAATCTGAGTCCTTAAAGTCTTTTTTTTTTTTTTTTGCTTATGCCTTGTTTTGGTTGAACAGTCGTGTCACTTGCAATTGAAGAAATCCTAACCGACACAGGACCTAGAACACATTGGACCTGTTTTACCTTTTTCGGTTTCCATTTTGCATGGGCTTAGGTCACTTCCGTAGGCTGTTGGAATGACCACAGATGTGTGGAGTAAAGCAGTGAGGAGGTGCTGTGGCAGCTACGATGTCAAAAACAGGTCTTGTAGTTTGGGTAACCAGGGCTTCTAAGACTTGCTTAGGAACTCATGGAACGTAAGAAACTTCATTTATTTACATCTCGGGGCCGGGGGGTGGGGGGAGGCCACACTACTCAGACAAGAGGGAACTGATAAGGATGTACCTAGTACCTTGTGCTGTGGCATTCCTTCCTACATGCTGATAACATTTCAGCTTGTCAAACCTGTGGTTTTTCATATTTCTCAATGAGTAGACTCTTAACCAATAGTGAAGTGGGTAGTTAAGGAGGGCCCTACTTCAGAGTGGCTGCAGCGGGAGGAGATTTCTGTTCTAGAGTTCAGAAGGCCTTAGATGAGTATCTTAACCTCACCATAACAGTAACTGTCTTCATGTTCAAGAGAGTTAGAATCGTTACGTTATGTTTCCTTTCTTTCTGCTCTATGAATTTTACAAGTGGGGGTCTTTGGACTCGAACTTTTCAAAACCCATTTTCTGATCCTCCCCCAAATTGCTTTCTCTAAGCAATTACCTGGGTCTAGAAAGAAAAGTCCGTATGCTCAAATAGCTTAATTTTTCCCTTCCAGACGTTAAAAAAAAAAAAAAAATGAAGCCAACCCAGCAAAGACATAAATGATTTATTTCCATTCCTAAGATCTATGTGAATTTACTGATTGATTTGATAATTAAAATAGTCCCTTTGTAAAGTCATCTCCGAAAATATACTAACTTTATTAAAATGCATACAAACTATTGCTGTAAATGCTATTCTTAAGCCCCCTGACCAACCTAACAGTTGTTTTCAAGGCACTTATGATTTTTAGAGGTTCCCGTGGTGGCCGGGAACAAAGAAATCATCTTGGGACCAGAGTGGACATTTGGTCAGAATCCTCTCCAAAATATGTGTCTACTTCTTGACAGATTCACAGATTGTCTGGGTTTTAGGGGTTCTTACAAAGTGTACCTAATGACACAAGGTTTTCCTAATTACAGCAGGCCTTTTCTTTGCCTACAGTTTAAGACACCCAGCAAAGTATATGCTCCCCAATGAGGAAAATGGAGCCAAGAACCTTAAGTGTGTCAACTATTTTTTGGCCATACTCATGTGTCAAGTACCATTTACATCTTAAGCGCTGAAGACTGGAATGCAGGAAAACAAGCATTAGTGGAATACTGAAGTAAACACAGTAAAGCTGGCCAGAACTAGGTATGGCACCCTGGTCCCTTAATTTTGAAAACCGTTAATTTTGAAAATCCTGAGAACAACACATACATTCAGATTTTTTTCTGGAAAAATCGGGACCATTTAGATAAGGATTTTCAACTGGTTAGGATTTCTTTATTCATAAGATCTTGCCACGTCTCCCCTTTGAAAATTGTCTTTTGACTGACTTAACTGCTTAATAGCACCAAGCTCTCAAAAAGCGGGTGAAATTAAAATCTGTCAGGTAACCATTTAAATAGGACAGTTGTGGGTGCCTGGGTGGCTCAGCTGATTAAGCCTCCGACTTCGGCTCAGGTCATGATCTCGTGGTTCATGAGCCCAAGCCCCACATTGGGTTCTCTGCTTCAGCACAGAGCCCCACTTCAGATCCTGTCTCCCTCTCTCTGCCCCTGCCCCCACTTGCACTCTCTCTCTTTGTCTCTCAGAAATAAGACACTAAAAAATGATAAAATTTATGGTATTAAAAAAAAGAGACAAAAAAGACAGTTGGGAGGATTTTGAAGTTACAGAATGAAGTTTGGCAGTAATGGTAAACTCCAATTATGAAAGCCCAGTGTTTCCTTTTTAAGGGAGAGTCCTGTTTGGTTTGGTTTTGATCCTCTGGGAGACAACAAAAAATGGCTAGGTTATCACATAAGCTTTTAGGGGTGAAATTCAACTTAACTTTAAAAAAAAAAAAAAAAAAAGGTTTCCTTTCTCCCAATTAGTACTGTAAGTGTAAAACTGCAGCCTTAAGCCATTTGAACCATGCAGCTGTCTGTGCCCTGCCCCCCCTATTTCACGGCATATCCATAGATGTGAGGGCGCACCAGCTCCAGGGAAAGCGGCGCCTGTAGGTGCTGCAGCTCAAGTTTAGAGAAGCGCGCCCGTTCCAGGGCCTTCCAGCTCTCTCTGGTCAGGTTGCACCCATCAAACAGCAAGTACCAGGAAGGATCCAGGACTTGTTGCCAGAAGTAATTCCAAGTTGAGCTCTCAGCTGCTACATGTTCCAGGAAATAGAAAGCCCCTCCCTGAGAAAGAAAAAAAAAAAAATCCAGGATTTTGGTTTTGGAAGAACAGGTTTCTAAGATGATTTAAGCTTCGATTTCAGTGGCCCCAGAGGCTAACTTGATGAAAAGGCATGGATAAATTTAAAATTTACTAAGACACCATTTTGGCCAATAGTCTCACCTTCTGTCAAATTTTATACAAAGCTGCCAATTTAAGGCAATTAACACATATTTTCTAATCATAAAAGTAATATGTAGGGGCGCCTGGGTGGCTCAGTCGGTTATGCGACTGACTTCCATTCAGGTCATGATCTTGTGATTCATGAGTTCAAGCCCCATGTCAGGCTCTGTGCTGACAGCTCAGAGCCTGGAGCCTGCTTCAGATTCAGTGTCTCCCTCTCCCTGTGACCCTCCCCTGCTCACACTCTGTCTCTCCCTCTCTCAAAAATAAAGAAATATTAAAAAAAAATTTAAACTAAAGCAGTTACTGCTTGGACAGTGTGCTACCTTAATGCCTATCACATGTTAACTCAATCCTCACTATAAACTTATTTGGTAAGTATTATCATTCCTATTTTTACAGATAAGGAACATGAGTCACACAGAAAATAAGCAACTTGCCCCAGTTTACACAGCTTACAAATGTCACATCAGGTTTTATTTGAACCTAGGTGGTCTGGCTCCAGAGGCTGGTAACCCTGCCTCATCAATATGTTTATTTTAGGAAATGTAAAAACAGTTTTAAAAGAAAAATACCCACTATTCTCTCATCTCAAGATAACTACTGTTAATATTTTGTGGGAGGGGTGCCTGGGTGGCTCAGTCGGTTAAGCCTCCGACTTCGGCTCAGGTCATGATGTCACAGTTTGTGGGTTCAAGCCCTGTGTCAGGCTCTGTGCTGACAGCTAGCTCAGAGCCTGGAGCCTGTTTCAGATTCTTTATCTCCCTCTCTCTCTGACCCTCCCCTGCTCACGCTGTCTTTCTCTCTCTCTCCGAAATAAATAAAACATTAAAAAAAAAAAAAAAGATTTTGTGGGGGACCTGGGTGGCTCAGTCAGTTGAGCATCTGACTCTTAAGTTTTGGCTCCGGTCATGACCTCATGGTTAGTGGGATTAAGCCCCATGTTGGGCTCTGTGCTGACAGCAAGGAGCCCTCTTGGGATTCTCTCTCTCTCTCTCTCTCTCTCTCTCCTTCTCCCTCTCTCCTTCTCCCTCTCTCCCTCTCATTCTCTTTCTCTGCCCCTCCTGTGCATGCACACTCTCTCTCAAAATAAATAAACTTAAAAAAAAAGTTTTGTGTGTATCATGTAAATATCTATTTTTCCCTAAAACTAGGATTAAAATGTACATTCTATTTTGTAACCTGCTTTATTTATGTATTTGAATACTATTCTAAAACGTGATTTAAAAACTTTTCACACAATATTTCACACCACTGAAGGTACCATGTCTTAGTTAACCATTCTCACTGAAGTTATTTCCAATTTTTCATTATTACAAATACTATCGCAGTGAATAACCTTATCCATCTCTGTGACCATCTCTAACTATTTCCAAAAAAATAACTGGCTAAAAAGTGGAAGTGCTGAGTCCAAACTCCGTGCCTTCTTAAACTGTTGGTACAGGTGGTCAGACTGCCCTTTGGAAGAGTCACAGCAAGTTTACTTTTGTACTAGCCGTGCATATGAGTGCCCATTTCTTTTTTTTTTTTTTATGTTTTATTTATTTCTAGGAGAGAGAGAGAGATAGCGTGAGCAGAGGAGGGTCAGAGAGAGAAGGAGTCACAGACTCTGAAACAGGCTCCAGGCTCTGAGCTGGCAGTCAGCACAGAGCCCGACGCGGGGCTCGAACCCACGAACCGCGAGATCATGACCTAAGCGAAAGTCGGACGCTTAACCGACTAAGCCACCCAGGCTCCCCATGAGTGCCCATTTCTAATAAACTTTTAACTATCCTTTTTTCCTCTGTATCCTTGGCAAGTTGATGGGTAAAATGGTATTTCATTTTCAGTAATGAAGTTAACCTTTTTGTCTATCATCCCTGGCAAGTACTTCTATGTTTTTGTACTTTACTGTGTATAGTATTTTTTTCCCTGTCAACGTTTTACACTTTTGTGTATTCAGAATCAGTCTTTCCCTTTATAGCTTCTTTCCAACTCTTAAGATTTTACAAAACTCAACAGTGCCTTCTCTAGGAGTTTTACTTTTTATGTTTGAATGTGTGATTCACCTGAAATTGACAGAACTTCTCCCTCACTCACCGGCCTCAGCACTCGGCACACCTCCTGGAGGATCCGCTCCTGGCTCTGCACGGAGCACAGGACTAGGGTGCAGACCACCACATCCACGGAGCCATCGGCCACCTGCTGCATGTTCTCTCCCGTAGCCACCACGAAGCGCTCGAACTGCAGGTGTCGGTTCTCTGCGACGCTCTTGATCAAGAACTTCTCAAAGTTGGGGTTGGGGTCGATACAAGTCACCCTGCATCCAGCCGGGTAGAACTTGAAGTTGGCCCCGGTGCCGCAGCCCACTTCCAGCAGAGAGAGCTTCCCGGAGGGACCCACAAACTCCGGCAGGTTGCTGAAGAGCTCGCGCTTCTTGCTCGCCATCTGTTCGTTGTACATCACGGTGAACCTCCGCAGGAAGTAGGGGAACCACATTTTGCATATCTGGTTCCACAAGCCCAGAAAGTTCAGCAGGTACATGGGAAATAGCAGGATGCCGATGGCCAGCCTGAGGATAAAGATGATAAGCGCCATCACCATGAAGAGAAAGAGATCAACGGGTTAGCGACCCAGCAACCAGATTCCTTTATTGCAGGAGATGGGCTTCTGGCCAGAGCCAGTCCGCTTGCAGATGAAAGAAGAACTGGCTGTGCTAGAGACACACAGCTGAAGTCAAATCGTGGGCAAGAGGCCCATTTCACTCAATTAATAGGCGGTGGGCAAAAGATGCAGCTTAATTTTCATGAAGCGAAGTGAGAAGTTTCCCAGCTTCTCCTTAGAAGGAAAGTTGATTACAGTCCCACCTTCCAAACCTCTTCCTGCTTCCCTTCTCTGGGTTTGGAAACTACCGCTTGTTTCCGGCTGCAGTTTTATACGCACTTTGCGCTTACACACCCGATCTGGGCCCTCTCATGACATCTACAAAGAAAACAGAACCCGTGGGTGGAGCCTGGTTAAACCATACTAGGAAGCTGCTGCCGAGTCACCCTTTTGTACCTCTCCTCCCCCAGCCCTGTTTTTTAAAAGAGGAAATGAAAAGACACGCTTGCCTGACCACAGTTAACAAGAGTTTTCCCCTTTTGCATTCTGCTCTGAGGCTCTCAGACATTCACAACTCAACAGGATTATTTTTAAGTCACAGTTCTGGGCCGCCCGTTTTTTAAAGGGCAAGTTTCAACTTCAAATCGTGCGCAACTGCTATAATATTACTCAGCTAATTTAGATAAAAATAGTCCTCAGAATATTTGTGTTTGAGAACCTGAAAACCTAAAGTACACAGAAAGTAGTTTCAAGCATTCATCTGTTTTGAACAAGAAAGCCTTGGCTTTAGCGTGGGTCAGGAAACACAAAAATTTTCCAAAATTATGGTAATGTTTACTTTTTAAAATTGGGTAATGGATACAGGGGATGTTCTGTTGATTCATTATTTGTGATCCTCTATACATAAAAATATTTTTTCCCGCATTTGACAGCTTTCTTGAGGTGACATTAACATACAATAAGCTGTATAAAGTGTACAGCCTGTTAAGTTCTGACCTAGGTACATCCCTGTGACACCAACACTTTAGTCATCACCCCCAAAAGTTTCCTCTTACCCCTTTGTGATCCTTCCTTCCTGCCCTCCCCATCCCAAGGCAACCACTGATCCGTTTTTTTGTCACTGGAGATGAGTTATGCATTTCCTAGAATTTTGCGTAAATGGAATCAGGCTAGTGTGCTTTTCTGTCTGGCTTCTTTTACTCGGCATAATTACTTTGAACGTGAGCAACATTGTTGCATGAATCCATTGATTTTGTCCCTTAGTAGTATTCCATCGTATGGATGTATAAGTGTTTACCTGTTCACCTGCTGATGGACATTTGGGTTGTTTTTGATTGTTACAGATTGAGCTAATGTGAACATCAACGTACAGGTCTTCGTAGCGACATATGCTTTCATTTCTCTTGGATAAATTCTTATGAGTAGGATATATGGGTCACATGATAGACAAATCTTTAATTTTTTAAAAAAACTCCAAACTGTTTTCCAAAGCGGGCATACCATTTTATATTCTCACTGTAAGGGTATGAAAGATTTAGCTGTTCCACATCCTTACCAATACTTGGTATAATTGTCTTTTTTGATTTTAGCCATTTTAAACGGTCTGTAGTAGTCTCTCATTGTACGTATAATTAGCATTTCCCTGATGATTAATGATGTTGAGCATCTTTTAATGGACTTATTTGCCATTTGTGGTCTTATTTGGTAAGGTGTCTGTTCAGATCTTTTGCCCACTTTTATTTATTTATTTTTTTACAAATAGTTTATTGTCAAGTTGGTTTCCATATAACACCCAGTGCTCATCCCCACAAGTGCCCTCCTCCTTGCCCATCTCCCCCCCTTCCCCCCTCACCCCTCAGCCCTCAGCATTCAAGAGTCTCTCATGGTTTGCCTCCCTCCCTCTCCCCCACTATTTTTCCCCTCTTCTCCCCCATGGTCCTCCGTTAAGTTCCTCCTAATCCTCCTCTACGTGCAAACATATGGTATTTGTCCTTCTCTGACTTATTTCGCTCAGCATAACACCCTCAAGGTCCATCCATGTTGCTACACATTTGCCCACATTTAAACTGGGTTATTTTCTTATTGAAGATTGAGACGACTTTGTATATTCTCAGTGTGTCATTTATCAAATGGGTGACTTTTTCCTAGTCTGTGACTTTTTATTCTCTTAACAGTGTCACCATCTTGGCCCCCTCTACCCTGCTCCCCCTGTGTCTGTCAACCACCAATCTGTTCTCTGTATCTGTGAATTTGTTATTTTTTTCTTTTTTGTGGGGTGGTTTGTTTTTTTTTGTTTTTTGGTTACACAGATGAGTGCAATCATATGGTATTTGTCTGTGACTGGCTTATTTCACTTAGAATAATGCTGTCAAGGTTCATCGATATTGTCTTAGCTGTGTCTTTTATTTTGATAAAGTCCAATTTATACATTTTTAATGTTTATTTATTTGAGAGAGAGAGTGTGCATGCACGCATGAGTGGGAGGAGGAGCAGAGACCAAATCCCAAGCAAGTTCTGCACTGTCAGAACAGAGCCTGACACAGGGCTCCATCTCACAAACTGTGAGATCATGACCTGAGCCAAAATCAAGAGTTGGATGCTTAACAAACTGAACCAGCCAGGCGCCCCTACATTTTTTTCTCATGATCCGTGATTTTTTTTTCCTAAGAAACCCTCGCCTATTCTATGGTTGTAAAGATTTTCTCTTATATTATTTTTTTTGCATGTTTTATAGGTAGAGATTTTATATCTAGGTCTATGATTCAATTAAAGATTTTTTAAAAATGTAGGAGATATAAGGTAAAGGACAAAGTGAACGTTTTCCAGTTTCATTAAAATATAATTGACAGCATCTTACAAGTTTAAAGTTTTTAGCCTGAATGTTAATGTTTTTTCCATATAGATATCGATTTCACCACCATAATTTGTTGAAAGGACTATCCTTTCCTCAGTTGAATTATCTTGGCAACTTTGTTAAAAATAAATTGGTCATATATGTGTGGGTCTACTTCTGGGAATTCTATTCTGTTTTATAGTCTATATGGCCATCCATATGCCAGGACCACACTGCTTTGATTCCTGTAGCTTTATAGAAAATCTTGAAATCGGGTAGTTGAAGCTCTGACTTTTCTTCTTTCTCAAAATTGCTTTGACTATTCTAGGTAGCTTGCGTTTTTATATGCAATTTAGAAATTTAAAAATTATATAAATATACGTATTGTAAATTTTTAATTGCAAATTTAATTTATTTTAGGAATCTTGGGAGTATTCAGATTTTCTAGTTCTTCCTGTGTCTGTTTTGATAATGTGTCTTTCAGAAATTTGCCACCTGTGAAGTCTAAGTTGTTGAATTTATTGGTATAGAGTTGTTCATAATGTTCTCTTATAATCCTTTTAATATCTGTAGGATCTACAGAAATGATACTGATATTTTGTGTCTTTTTTTTTTGGTGAATTTAGCTAGAGATTCTTTATTGAATTTAAGGATAGTTGATACCCATAATACAATATTCTATTACTTTCAGGCGTACAACATGGCCATTCGATACTTACGTGCATTACAAAATGCTGACCACCATAAATGTAGTTAGTTACTGTCCAGCACCAAAGTTATTACAATATTATTGTGACTGTATTCCCTACACTGTACTTTATATCGCTGTATACTTCATATCCCTACTTTATTGCAGTTACATTTGTACCTCTCAATCCCCTTCACCTATTTTGCCCATCCACCGATGCCCCTCCTCTCTGGCACCAACCGGTTTGTTCTCTGTATTTATGAGTCTCTTTCTGTTTTGTGGGCTCATTTGTTTTGTTTTTAATTTTTTAATGTCTATTTTTGAGAGAGAGAGAGACAGACAGAGAGAGACAGAGCATGAAAGGGGGAGGGGCAGAGAGAGAGGGAGACAGAATACAAAGCAGGCTCCAGGCTCCAAGCTGTCAGCACAGAATCCCATACGGGGCTCGAACCCACCAATGGTGAGATCATGACCTGAGCCAGAAGTCGGATGCTTAACTGACGGAGTCACCCAGGCGCCCCTATTTTTTTATTATTTTGAGAGAGACAGAGACAGCACAAGTGAGGGAGGGGCAAAGAGGGAGGGAGAGGGAGAATCCCAAGCCGTTTCCATGCCATTAACACAGAGCCTGAGGCATGCCTTCAACTCATGAAACCAAGCGATTGTGACCTGAGTCAAAGTTGGTTGCCTAACCGACTGAGCCACCTAGGTGCCTGTTTGTTTGTTTGTTTGTTTCTAAATTTCTTTTAATGTTTATTTTTGAGAGTGTGAGCAGGGAGGAGCAGAGAGAGAGGGAGACACAGAATCCAAAGCAGGCTCCAGGCTCCGAGCTGTCAGCACAGAACCCCATACAGGGGTTCGAACCCATCAAAGGTGAGATCATGACCTGAGCCAAAGTCAGACACTTAACCGACTGAGCCACCCAGGCGTCCCTGGTTTGTTTTTTAGATTCCATATATAAGTGATATCATACAGTATTTGTCTTTTTCTGTCTAACTTATTTCACTTAGCATTATACCCTCTGAGTCCATCCATGTTGTTGCAAATGGCAAGTTTTCATTCTTTTTTATGGCTGAGTAATATTGCATACTACAATTCCGTTATCCATTCATCTGTTGATGGACACTTAGGTTGATTCCATATCTTGGCTATTGTATATAATGCTGTAAAGAACATAGCAGTGTATATAGGTTTTCAAATTGGTGTTTTCATTTTCTTTGGGTAAATACCCAGTAGTGAAACTGCTGGATTGTATGGTGATTGTATTTTGAGTTTTTTGAGTCACCTCCACAATGTCTTCCATAGTGGTTGCATCAATTTACATTTCTACCAGTAGTGCATGAGGGGTTGACACTAGGCATTCTGACAGGTAGGGAGTGATATTCTCATTGTGGTTTTTGATTTGCATCTCTCTGGTGATTAGTGATGTTGAGCATCTTTTCATGTGTCTGTTGGCCATCTGTACATCTTCCTTGGGAAAATGTCTAGTCAAGTCCTCTGCCCATTTTTAAGTCAGACTGTATTTTTTTTTTTTTTTGGTGTTGCATTTCATGTTTTTTTTTTTTTTTTTTTTTATTTCTAGGAGAGAGAGAGACAGCGTGAGCAGGGGAGGGTCAGAGAGAGAGGGAGTCACAGACTGAAACAGGCTACAGGCTCTGAGCTGGCAGTCAGCACAGAGCCCGACGCGGGGCTCGAACCCACGAACCGCGAGATCATGACCCAAGTGAAAGTCGGACGCTTAACCGACTAAGCCACCCAGGCGTCCCCATGAGTTCTTTATATATTTTGGATATTTACCCCTTATTGGATACATGATT